TTCGACCTCCCCCTTCCTCCGAATGACACAGTGTCAGGGTTCATTATGTTGTTCTGTAGAGTTAAGCTTTCGGCCAGCCGCTTCCTCTACCTATATGTTCCCTGTACTTCTCAAGAGGATCCCAAAAAACTGCGTGCACTCAGTTTGACCTTTAAAGCCCGCGTGGGGTATTGGGTGAAATTCCGGAGGTGGCTGATGGCCCGCACGCGTAGCCAGGCTTCTCTCATCCTGACGGTAACTATGTCGGCAGACTTGTTCGCGAAGGATAAAAATGCTGGGCCTGGTACATGGCTGACCCGACCTAAAAGTTGTTGTATAGATTCATCGGCTGCAACAAAGCCAACCATTCCTGGAATGGAAGTATTAGCTCATCCCATTCAAAAGTGCCGAGACATATAGAGGAATGGCGGAAAAGCAAAGGGGATAGGGCAGCGAGCTACTATACCATTTGGAGGCTAGTACCTTTAGCTGTGCCTCTGTGAAATGTTGGGCGAACCTGCCAGCACAGGAAGATTTCGAGAAAATAGACAAGAAGCCGAAGTGGTGATAATTTCCAGCGTCCGATTTTCAAATCAGATGTCATAAAGAGGAAAGTGCGCTGCTCAAATTTGACCTGCGCCGGACCAGTAGTTGTGTGTAATGGTGTTCTCGATATACAAGGTGGAAGGTTTGGTTCAGGAGCCCGGAGAAGAAAGAAAAAAAATTTGTTGTCGTTGGATGTGTCCCTATTAATGTTCATTTTCCGCCGATGAAATAATATTTGGTGATTACGTCATATGCGCTGAATGTCTGACCCAGTGACTGGATCGTTTGTCGAGGCTTTCAGCCTGCGAGACTGACATCCCTTGCTGCAATCTGTTTGCCTTAGACTTTATTTCCGGATATATTTTTTTATTAATCTGAGGATTGGTCAAGGAGGGTCGCGCGGCATAGGTGTATCCTTTCGATTTTCTTGCAGAATGCATCTGAACATCATGTACCGCTTTATGCTCTAGCAGTAATGTTCTTCATTGCATGAGATTGGCATTTCATCACTGTGAAAAACTGTCAGCTGCTTCGGTTACTCTAGATTTGAATGATATGGGTCGGTCTCGGAACGCTCAGAGCCAATTAACTTCATCAATCTGTCATGTTCGTTATGAATGGAGATTGATGAAGCCGCCCGATGTTTCGTTAACCAATGAATGAGTTACGTGGGGCGCAATGTGGAAGTGGTCATACATTATTGTGAAGGATTCCTCTAGCACTGTGTTCTCTATAGGCAGCTCTATAGCAGAGAATTAAAAATCGTAGTGTCGGGTGTAAGATTTGCCTGTTTCCTGCGGTCTAATCTAGTAGTCGACTAAAGGGATGGACCGACACATACTTACATAGGAGGGTCCACCGTTTGCTCGTGTCATATGTGCCTTATGACCGCTCCAAGTTGACTGTTATTTGTTAGTGCAGTTGCTGGACATCGAAACAATTTACTGAACTGTTCAATGGTACCTTATCGGCCCGACATAAAGCCGAGCGATTCCAATTGTTCTCGTCAGTCGAGAGTACTCTCCGACGGCAAACGCTACAATGTTTTGTCATTCGCCGAAATTGGCATCAACAGCAATTTACTCGCACTTGTTGAAAAATCGAAGGTACCAGAGGTCCAAAGGCTTTCGGGGCACTGGGAGCGGGTCATTGGTGAAGGAGGGATTTACTTAACTTGAAGCCAAAATATTACTTTTTATCTATTCTCCTCTTTGTTTTATTCGAATAAAACCGACGGCACTTTTGAATGGGATGACCTAATAGAAGGCGTGCGCATCCCAAAAGGGATAGATAATCCGGCAAAATTTTACTACTTAATCTTTCTACTTTATGCAGCTGGATCAGTAGTTTTGAGGTACACAGAGATGTGTAAGGGTTTTTACAGATTTGGCCAGTTATTCTCGATAAATCCAAAGATAAGAAGGTTACAGTCCGTGCAGCAGTTGGTGAAGCTCTGGATGCTATTTCGGAGGCGGTAGGTTTTATTTGACTCTGGAATTTTCTTCGTACATAAATTGCATAGCATTTTCCATCTTTCAGTGTGCTTCTGACCGCCTCACAAAAGATCTGTGTGAACATCTAGTGAAGCCCAATCCTCAATCTAAGCAATGCCTGTGCGGGTTTTTAACCCGATATTTTGTCAGGCAAACAACTCCTCAATTAGATTTTGCCAAAGCCGTCTTGCCCCCTGTAGTAAAGGTTTGTCGTTAAAGATTCTCTTAGTACTCGAAACCTCATTACTTAACCATTGGACCATGTTCAGCTAGCTTCTGATAGCGACCCGTCGGTTCGTGACGCGGCTTGTCAAACTCTTGGATCAGCTCGTAGGCTCCTTGGAAAAGGTCTAGACGCTTTTTTGGCACCAATTATTACCGAAAAGCCTAAACTGGACAAGGTGAGGTTCGCTCTGCTCATTTTTGTTTATTCTTTTTTATTTGTTGACAGACTTTTCACTGGTATTTCGTGGATGAAAATCTGTTAACTTTTTATCGTGTTCCGATCGTGCCACCAGTTCGGCTAGGTGGGGGCACCAAATGATGTTCAGCGAAGTTTGAACCGGCCACCTTGTGAAGTATCTTGACCTTGTGAAGAATCTGAGAGCAATCCGGTAATCTTCGTGACAGAAGTGGCTCATTTGTGCCGTTACGCAGCTTGCCCTGAGTTTACAGTTTATATAGAGACTAGCTGATGCTGTGTTCCGCGTTATGAGTATGGTGACCTTACCATTCTAACTCCCCTTATCAAATCCTATCAGCTGCTATCATTCCCTGTCACCCATCAATAACGTTCCTGTCTCACGTCCTATATCATACATTGGAACCATTGTCTCACTGTTACTGTGTCCCGCACTATGAACTTGGTCACCTTCCTCTTCTGACGCCTCTTGACGGATCTTATCAGCT